AAAAGAAAACCCTCTGCAACAAAGCACATATATTTCATGTATCTACTCATATATAAATGTATAAATTAGTATTTATGGACCAATGATAGTCACCAAAACACATATTTAAAAACTAAGCTTATGAATTAATTTTCAAAATGATTAATCAAAAGATATGTGATATCTATGTTATACACACACAAATATTTATGTGTGTCAACATGATCTTAGAATAGTTTTAAAATATAACATCCAAAATATATCAAATATTATGGCTATTAAAAATGTTACTGAATACATATAAAACATTCTAAATAGAAGTTAGAAATATTTATCTTGGGAGCACTTCTAAACCCTTCTGATTTGGTGCTGCTGGATTCAAGTCGATTTCTGCTCAAACAAACTCTTAAAACTTAAAAAAAAAATCTCTTTTGTTCAAACTGGTAATATATATTCAATTCGATTTTTTACACTTCAAAAGTAATGTTTCGCATTCCTTGGTTTTCTTGCTACTGAAACATTGGAGAAATATGATGAAATAATTTGTTATACAGACTATTTGATATTCTGAAAACTGAAAAACCCAGTTAAACTGAATTTAAACATCTTGAAACCTTATTTATGTTAAACTGATTTACATGGAGGCTGCATGTGTTCCTATCTCTCAGATCTCCACCAGCAAGACAAGTCCTGTGATTTAAGCCTGATAGTTGTAAATATAGCTGTAATATTTCTTTTAAAAGGGCTTCCAAATGTTGTTAACCTTAAAATTTACTTTTCACGTAGTTTGGCTTCAAACACTAACAAAAGCTCTTGACTTGAAACTTCCCGTAGCAACTTTGAGTACAAATAAGTAATTGTGTGTTCAATTTTACACTCTCACAGAAAAAGCAGAGGCAGGAAGAATTACCTGTGGGAAATTAGAGCTAAATTTCACATCGAAACATTGCTAGTTTCCTGTCAAAATCCACCTCTAAAATGAATGTAACAACAGCACCCGGATCCACACGTTAATATGAATATCCACCGAAATGAATATTCACTGACAGAACACATTCCCAATTTACTTTTAAAGGAATCATGGGGAACACTTTATAGGCTCATGAGTGAAGGCAAGAGATAGGGTAGTTTATTATTTTGGAGCAGATAGCACATAATCTGAAATTGCAGTGTTTTCATGATTTCAGCAAAGACAAAGTATGCCCTATGTATATCTCATGGTGACTTGGAGTGAAGCCAAAGTACACAGCGCTGGAGCTCTGAGGGTTAAATCATCATATACTATCAGCCCGAACAACACAGCGATTCAAGTCATTTGCCCTGAAAGCAACTTAGAGAGAAACTCAAGCAAAGCCGGTTAGAACAAGTCCATCACTGTTTGTCGGAAAGTAAAAATGTGGGAATTTAGTTTTTCAGAGGGACTCTCAAGTATACATGTAAATAAATGCAGTGTCTAATTATTAAAAATAATTTTATTTAATAATAGGCCATTTAGGTCATTTAGAAGTAGGTTTTCTGCCATGTATTTAAAATACTCCTAACTTAGTAAAAAGCAACATAACAAGCAATCCAAGTTAGTCCATCCTTAACCCCAAAATAAGCTGAATGCTAAAAACATAATTTAGTATTTTGAATTTATATTTAAACAGAAGTCAATCTTGCTCAGAAAGTCTGAGAAGTCTTGGCTTAATAGCTATTTTTTTAAATCAGTTAGCAAGGAGCAACTGGAACAAACTACAAATGGCTAATGGTAATCAAATAAATGCATCTATTAAAAATATATGTACCCATCCCTCTGAGGGATTCTGTTATTCATCAGTGAAACCCTTTTTAACAACTATATTTGATTCCCCACAATCATTCATGCTCACAAACATCCAAACCAAAAGTGGACAAATATTTTCATCCTGTGTTAAGCGATATTATAAAGGCTTGGGTATGATAATGAACTGAGAAATATTTACTGGCATACCAGGGTGGGGTAAAAATAGTAATAACCTTTGACAACAAAAAGCTTAGTCAACTCAGCAAGAGTCGTTTTCTGCATTAAAGATAAAATCAGCATTACCTTAAAAATCATCATAAAGTGCTGCAACCTAAAATGGTATTTACCTTGAAATTTACAAAATAGAAAGCCTTTCTAGTGAGAAGAATTCAATCTCCTTCAAATGCATAATGTCACATTATTTGAAACTTAAGGCATATTGAAATATTCAACTCTGTTGAATTGCTAAAACTGTACTTCTGAAGGAGCTAAATGTTGCAAATAGTCATTGAAATCAGTTGAAATTGATGGTATTTAACTAGTTTAAACTAATTAGCCATTAGGTAGTATCCATTTCCATTTATCTTATTTCTTTGGCGAAAAAAGCCTACATTGTAATAAAACAAGTAGAAGGATGATTACACAACTTATCATTTCCTTCAAAACCACCTACTAGTCCACAGGGGCATAACCTTGGGCTCTGCCCTTTGATAAGTAACATGATAATTATTACAGGCTTTTTGTGTGATAACTTCTGTGAATCAGTGAGAAGAAAATTTTTTTTTTTTTTAAAGATTTTATTTTTTCCTTTTTCTCCCCAAAGCCCCCCAGTACATAGTTGTGTATTCTTCGTTGTGGGTTCTTCTAGTTGTGGCATGTGGGACGCTGCCTCAGCGTGGTCTGATGAGCAGTGCCATGTCCGCGCCCAGGATTCGAACTAACGAAACACTGCGCCGCCTGCAGCAGAGCGCGCGAACTTAACCACTCCGCCATGGGGCCAGCCCCAGAAAATTTTTTCTTAATGCTTTTTGAACTGCAAAACAGTTACAGAAATGCTCTTCATTATCACAGCAATGTGACACAAATAGAGCACAATGAAGTAAATTGCTACAGGATTTGGACTAAAAACACGTTTATGTTTAGCTCCTGTGCCTTTGGGCAATTATACTTTAAATATTGTTACAAAATTTAAAAATCTTATTATATTTTCTAAAATAATGGCTATACGTATATGGAAAATTTTCTAAAGCCCTATTTCATGGTCCTTAAAAATTGGAAAATTTAAAGTTCATTTACTAGAATATAATCAGAGGTCCTATAATTCAAAGAAATAGATATTACCTTTCCACATTTGCCTTTGTTGTTGACTAGCTGTGAACCTGGAAAAGTTGTTAAACCATTGAACTACCAAATTAACTTCATAAAATATGTGATGTAAAGATAAATTAGAAATATATATTTAGTATGTTGACATTCTTATGAGAAATAGACTGTGTAAAATGCTGTGGAAATCAAGGATAAGAAAACAGTTACTTTATTTGGATAAGGACATATTGACAATAGAAATACACCCCAAAAGATGAAATATGTACTTCCATCAAATAGAATATATTTTGAGAGAAATATGGAAGAAGGTTTAAGGTTTTGATATCAGTGTCATGACTGAATTTTCTTTAATGGTATTTGGTACAGATAAAGAATACACAGGAATAAATGCTTGGACTTTGAAAACTAAAAATATATTGGTGGGTGAAACTAAAGAGAATCTAAATAATTAAAGAGATATACCTAGATCATAGGTCAGAAGGCTTGATATTATTAAGACGTCAGCTCTCCTCAAATTGATCTATAATTCCATGCAATCATATCAAAATCTCCACAAGATATTTCTCTTACTTTTGTTTTACTTTTTGCTAGGATTTGATAAACATGATAAAACTTACAAAGAAACATAAAGGACATATAATAGCTAAAACAATTTCAAAAATAACAAAATTGGAGGACCCACAGTACCTGATTTCAAAACTTATTATAAAGCTATGATAATCTAAGATAACATAGCATTAGCATCGAGTGACAAATACACCAATGAAGCAGAATAGACTGCCCAGAAATAGACCCACACTTAGATAAGCAAATGAGTTTTGACAAAGATGCAAGGACAATTCAATGCAGAAAGGAAAGGCTTTTCAAGAAATGCTGTTCAAACATTTGGAAATCCATATGCAAGAAAATAAATTTAGATCCATACCTAGTACCATACATGAACATTAACTCAAAATGGACTATAGACTTAAATTTAAAACTATAAAAGATCTAGAAGAAAACATAAGAGAAAGTCTTTGTGGCTTTGCATACTTAAAGGTTTCTTTGGATACCAAAGCATGATCCATAAAGGAAAAGGTGTATGAACTGACAATCAAAATTAGGAACGTCTAGGTTTCAAAAGATACTTTTAGGATAATAAAAGGACAAGCCGCACTGGTAGAAAATATTTGCAAACCATATATGTCATAAAGGACTTATGTAAAGTACTCTCAAAGCTAAGTTAAAAGAGAATAACCCAATACAAAAAATGGGCTAAAGATGTGAGCATACACTTTACCAAAAAAGAAATAATGAATGGTGTGTTAGGCTGAACAATGGCTTCCCAAAATTTATTCATGTACTAATCTCTGGAACCTGTGAGTGTTACCTGTTTGGAAAAAAAAAAAAAAAAAAAAAAAAAAGAAGACTTCAGACAAAGCTTTGACTATAGAGGAGAAGAAGACCATGTGACCGAAACAAAGGGAAGCAGAGTCAGAGAGAGAAGATGCTATGCCACTGGATTTGGAGATGGAAGAAGGGGGCATAAGCCAAGAAATTCAAAGAATGCAGCTCTTGATGCTGGAAAGATTAAGAAATTGGATTCTCCCCCTACAATTTCTGCTAATATCTTGATTTTGGCTTAAAATGACTGATTTCAAACATTTAGCCTCCAGAACTGTGGGAGAAGAACTTTCTGTTTTGTCAAGACAGCAAGTTTACAATGATTTATTGCAGCAGCCACAGGAAACAAATACAGATGGTGTAAAAGCACATGAAAAGATTCTCAACATCATTAGTCATGAGGGAAATAATTAATAAACCAACCGTACCAAGTGTTAGAGAGAATGTGAAGGAACTAGAACTCACACACCAATGGTGGGAATGTAAAATGGTACAACCACTTTGAAAAATGGTTTAGCAGTTGATTAAAAAGTTCATAAACACGTACCATATGATCCAGTTGTCCCAATTCTAGGTATTTACTCCAGAGAAAAGAAAGTAGGTTTCCATACAAAGACTTGCATGTGAATGTTCACCGCAACTTTATTTGTAATAGCCAAAAACTGGAAATTCTCCAAATGTCCATACAGAGGCGAATAGATAAACAAATGGTGGTATATCCATACAATGGAATAAAACTCTGCAATAATAAGACATGGATGAACAATGTATGAAAAACATGGATGAATCTCAAAACAATCATTCTGAGTGAAAGACGCCAAACAAAAACAAAGAGTTTATACTGGAAAATTCTATGTGTAAAAAACTGTATAAAATGAAAACTAATCAATAGTGACAGAAAGCAAATAAGTGATTGCCTGGGAAAGGGCCATGGGAAGGACAGAAGGGAGGGATCACAAAGGGGCATGAGGAAACTTTGGGGATAACAGACAATTTCACAAGTGTATACATGTGTCAAAACTTAACAAATTTTACCCATATGCATTTATTCTGTTTCAATTGTACTCCAATAAAACTGTTGAAAATGAATAAATAAAAGAGTATTTTTCTAAATAACTTGCTTTTTAATTTAAATTAATTTAATTTTTTGTAGATTGGCCCTGAGCTAACATCTGTTACCAATCTTCCTCTTTTGTTTCTCCCCAAAGTCCCAGTACATAGTTGTATATCCTGGTTGTAAGTCATTCTAGTTCTTCTATGTGGGATGCTACCACAGCACGGCTTGATGAGCAGTCCGGGCTCTGCGACCAGGATCTGAACCTGTGAACCCCCTGGTGATGAAGTGGAGTGCGAGAACTTAACCACTTGGCCACATGGCTGGCCCCTAAAAGAGTATTTTGGGTTATCTGTTTCACTCTAAGAGCTGGATCTAAATTCAGAATTCATAGACTGTAAATCTTGAGGGCATTTGTGTTCACAGAGCATATAAGTCCCTCCAAAAGCTTTTATATGCCTAAACTTGCTTACTCATTTCATTTGTCATTGAGTTGGCAATATTGCATGTAACATCTTTGTGAACTGTTCCTCCACTATGAAATAATATTCTGTATATAGCATCTATTAATTAATATGCAAAACTTAGTTTTTCAATTAAATAAAACTACCTCAGGGAGAAAAAGAATGGTTCAGTTCAACAGAAAAAAATGGGTTATGAATTACTGTATCTACAAGGTGCCTAGCATATGAATAATTGGGAGAACTGAGCAAAGAAAGAGGCAGAAGTCTAAGGAAAATTAGTATAAAATATAATTATGTAAAATTTTTGAACATATAAAAATGAAACCTAGTTTCTATTCCACTTTAAATTCTGGTATTTTTATGTTATCTTGCAGATAGTGTAATTCATAGGTTATTTATAAAAATATTTATGGAGTACCAACATATGTTTAAACATGGTTTTTGCTTTTAAATACTTAAAGATAAATAAGAAAGTCCATGACCTAAAGAAGCTGACAGATTAGGAAATGAGATAGGCAATGTAAGAAAAAAGAAAAAGATAAACTAGACCGTGAATAAATGTTATGACAGCTACATAGAACTTGCTGAAGGTAAAGAAATCATATAACGGTGATAAAAATGGTAGTCACGATGAAAGCTCATTCTTTGGGTTAAACAAAACTGAATTTTCTTGCTTATTATATCATATAATAATAATGATTGATAATAAAATAAAATATTAAAAGGATCACCTCACTATTTCCTCCTTCTATCTCCCAGATTTTTATGTAGAGAGTGTTGTCTCCACTACAGGTAGAATCTCGATGCCTAATTGATGTGGCCAGGTCATGGCTGCCCATTGTCATAAAAAGCTGCTGGGTTTCCAACCAAATCGACACAGTTCAAGAACATTCTTTTATAATGATTACCAAACATGTATTTCATTCGTGCAGATCCACTTTTCAAACAGCAAACTCAATACCAATGTTCATTATACCATTAAAACAAGAAGAAGCAAAAGTGTTCTTATTTTGTATTTTCTTGGTCAAAATATTTCACCAAACACAACTCTAACCAAAACTTCCAAACAGTTTATTTATAATTTGTAAGCCTACTAATGCATTCCAGAAATCACTACAAAATTTCCTGCAAAGAGTCTCACAGTCTTTACAGGTACTTTCCTATCTGGACCATGTAAAATGGTGAATGTCGAACCCAAGCTGAGCTAATTGGTTCCTTGTTAGAAAATTTCAATAGTCCAGGGACGAAAATTGAGATTAATTTCAATCTGGTGACTGAGGCCTTAAAATAAGTCTTCAGCTGCCAGCGGCCATGTTTCCCACAACGGAAATAAGAATAGCGACAAGTAAGGCTGACCTGTCGAGAGAGGCAGAGCCATAAGGTGGAGGGAAAGGCTATGAGGATTTCCCTCCAGTTTCCCTTATTAAAGACTAGTTGCCATGATGTTTTTCTCAAAGCAAAGTTGCCAAAACTTTGTTAGATTCCAAGAGCTTAAGCTTTTTGCTTAAGCTGGTTTGAGTTATAATTTTTAAAAATGGCAAAATTTTTGCAAAATTAATGAGAAATTGAACATGAAAGAAAAAATGCGTTAATAACTCTTCTGTATCTAAGGTATTAAATGATCATATAGCTATAATAATTAAAGCAGTATGATTCTAAGGGTGGAATACAGAGACAGATTACTGTAAGAGTACTCAAAGACCAGAATCACTAATTATCAATGAGAAAGGACACATTCTTCGAAAAATGCTGTTGGGTCAAATGCTTCCCTAATTGGAAAAAAGTAAGTTCAGACATCTTCTTGACATCTGGCACTAAAATAAATTTCAGATGCAGTAAAATTTTTAACTATGAAAGATGAATATAAAAATACTAAAAGGAAACATATGTTATGGAAAATATATGTGTTATATATAATATATGGAATATCATGTTATGGAAATATATGTTAAGGAAACAATATTATGTTAGAACATGGCAAGTCTTTTTACGCATAAGGCCACAGCTATAAATGAGAGAGGAAGTTTGATTTGAATTTGAAAAATTCAAATTTTAAAAGGTTGACTTAAAATACAAACTTTTCCATAAGAAAATAGTGAAAAAAGATAATATATAACACTAAGATAAAGAGTAAATGTCTTTGATATATAAAAAGCTTTTTTAAAAAAGGACAAAACTACATATGGAGAACTGGCCTAAGGATATGTGGAGGCAATTTCACAAAAAAAATGAAAACAAATCTCTAATAAACACAAGACAAAGTAACTTCAGTAATAATAAAGGAAAACATTTTACAAGGGGATATAATTTTCAATTGTGAGATTGACAAACATGAATAAACAATTAAATACAATATTGGTGAGGGTATAGCACATTCTTACATGTCCTTATCTTAGATACAAATTTACATTACTTTCCTGGAGAACAATTTGGTAACTTAAAATTTAAAATAATTTAGATTCTTTGACTCAGCTACTCATTTTCTAGGAATTTAATGTAAAGAAATAATTATGTAGGTCCATAAGCATAAAGGGACTAAGAGAGTCACCAAAAACTTGTTTTAACACACAGAATCAAAAAAAAAAAATGTGTCCAAATGCAGAAAACTTGTTAATGAATTGTGACAAAAATATATAGTGAAATACAAGTAGTCGTTAAAGATGATAATTTAGACATATTTATTAACATAGCAAGATATAAATTATATGTTGTTAGCTGAACATGGAAATTTGTAGAACAGTATACTAGTTTTCCTTTAGAAGTACATACTTATGGCTGTATGATGTCTGATATCCTAAGAATAGAAAGAAACAAAGGAAACACTTTTTCAGGCCGTGAGCTTCATGGTACATATCCTAATGATCTCAGGTTCTGCAGACAGCGCATGCTAGCAGTTTTATTATTAACTTTTTTACTACAAAGAAAAGTGCACCTGTTCATTCCTCTTCATTCTGATGAATTAGTAGATTGACCTAAGAGATGTTAAGCCGTGTGTTAAAATTAAGACTCTAGAGAACTGGTGTATCTTGTATGTGAGAATGGCAAACCTTTTCTACATTATCCCATCAGCTCTGACAGGCTCTGCTGAGTCTCAGACTTAAGTCTTTCCAAGTCAGCTAAGAGGATTAAACTATGGACACACAAACATTAGCACCCAGCCCTGAGTTTAAATATGATGCAGGACCGAGAACCCCTGGCTCATTCGCAGCTGCATGTTGCTGCCATTGTCTTTTTCCCATCAGGAGGAAACAGAAGGTGCAATTCCACAAACAACCCCCACACCTCCCTGCAAGGCTGCCACTAAAATCAGTGAGGCCAGATGGCTTAGAGACTGTGGGGACACACAATGCTCCTCGTTCCTATTTTCCTCATTATCTTCCAAACTGGAAACCTCTCTCTTGATCTCTCCTGTCCTGTGTTCTAATACACGCGAGGTTCTGGACTTGCTTTTTCCTGACTCAAATTTCCACTCCATTCCTTCAGCCAGGCTCTGGATTTTATCCTCTTGAACTTTGAATTCGTGAAAAAGAAAATTCCTATCTTCACTATCTTCAGCCAATGTTCCCTTCTCTTCCTAGCCTCTGCAGAAAACTTTCTCTGCCCAGCATGACTGTAATGGAAACACGGATGCACCACTGGAACCCTTTCAAAGAAGAACTTACTGACCAGCTGAAGGGAGCGTGGTGAGCCACCACCTACAGCTGCAGCTCCTTCCTGGTTGGCCATGGCTGAAAAGAGCCCCGTTGTCTGAAGTCACGCGTTTCTCTGGGCAGGCTGGTAACTGAGTGAGGTAAGAGTACAAAAGCCAGCTGTCTTGACCTAAATATGAGACACTCTCATGGGCTACACTCACTCAAGTGCTCCCTGCAGAGTTGATAAGATTGTGACAGCTCTGCCTTGCAATTTAACTTCTTCCTTTGCCAGATTTGGCTTCTTTCCCCTTCCCTTCACAGATGTTAATTCCTAACTTGCCTTTTGAACTCTATCTCAGTGTCTGCTTCCAGAGACCCCAACCTGTGATCGTTTGTATTAGTAGTGGTCCAATGAGCAATCAAGAAAATGGGATTTGGGAGCTGATCATTCATCACTTGGCTGACCATGAGGAGCCCTGATGGCAGATGGAACACAGCGCCTTTTCCAAAGTGACCATCTAATTGCTAAAACTGTCCCTGGTGGTCAATTGGAAGGGTACCTGTGGAAGGGGCAGTGAATTTGGTTAGA